GTCCAGTCTCTTCTTAAAAACTTCCAGTGTTGGAGCATTCACCACTTCTGGAGGCAGGTTGTTCCATTGGTTAATTGTTCTAACTGTCAGGAAGTTTCTCCTTAGTTCTAAGTTGCTTCTCTCCTTGATCAGTTTCCACCCGTTGCTTCTTGTCCTGCCTTCAGGCGCTTTGGAGAATAGCTTGACTCCCTCTTCTTTGGGGCAGCCCCTGAGATATTGGAAGACTGCTATCATGTCCCCCCTCGTCCTTCTCTTCATTAAACTAGACATCCCCAATTCCAGCAACCGCTCCTTATATGTTTTAGCCTCCAGTCCCCTAATCATCTTTGTTGCTCTTCTCTGTACTCTTTCTAGAGTCTCAGCATCTTTTTTACATCGTGGTGACCAAAACTGGATGCAGTATTCCAAGTGTGGCCTTACTAATGCAGGAATTGGGGATGTCTAGTTTAATGAAGAGAAGGATGAGGGGTGACAGGATAGCAACCTTCCGATATCTCAGGGGCTGCCCCAAAGAAGAGGGAGTCAAGCTGTTCTCCAAAGCACCTGAAGGCAGGACAAGAAGCAACGGATGGAAACTAGTCAAGGAGAGAACCAATCTAGAATTAAGGAGAAACTTCCTGATAATGAAGAACAATCAATCATGGAATGGCTTGCCTCCAGAAGTTGTGGGAGCTCCAACATTGGAGGCTTATAAGAAGAGACTGGACAGCCACTTGTCTGAAATGGAAGATGATCTCCTGCTTGAGCAGGGGATAGGACTAGAAGGACCTCCAAGGTCCCTTCCAACTCTGTTATTCTCCCTTTGTCATCCAAGCATTCAAGTTCGCAGCTGTAGAATTAACCCATTGATCATCCTGAAAAATCTGTGAAAGAGGCTGAGTAGATACACAGAGGAAGGGAAAAATTGCTTAAGGTCACTTCGTCAGCTTCTGGCTGAAGGAGATTTTGAACCAGAATTTTCTTCCAGTCCCAAAAAACAAATTCAGCAATAATATTCTTTGGAGACGGGAAATATCTCCTGCCTGCAGAAGAAAACAGATGCAAGTATTGGTGTTCTTTCATATATTTGTGCTCTCTTATTAGAATTACGATCCCGACTCCCTCAGCACTGGGAACACATCCCTGAACCGAGATGACAATTCCAGTCTAAAGGACGAGAAGACCAGCAGATCTGCACTTGATGGGTCACGTAAGAAAGTAATATTGTGTGGAGAAAGCAGGGTATAAGACCAATCCAGGCTTATACCCAGACTCAGACAAACCTGTTTCTTACTGAAGTGATGGATCTATGTCTAGATGGGTGTTTTTCAAACTTGGTATGCTGGCTGGGGAATCCTAACAGCTGAAGTCCACATATCTTAAAATTGTAAAGTTTGAAAAATGCTGGTCTAGACCAGGGGTCTTCAAACTTGGCCCTTTTATGACTGGTGGACTTCCACTCCCAGAATTCCTCAGTCGGCCATTTTGATGAAAGTGCGGGCTTGGATCCAGACCAGGGGTCTTCAAACTTGTCCCTTTTATGACTGGTGGACTTCAACTCCCAGAATTCCTCAGTCGGCCATTTTGATGAAACTGCGGGCTTGGATCCAGACCAGAGGTCTTCCAACTTGGCCCTTTTATGACTGGTGGACTTCAACTCCCAGAATTCCCCAGTCGGCCATTTTGATGAAACTGCAGGCTTGGATCCAGACCAGGGGTCTTCCAACTTGGCTCTTTGATGACTGGTGGACTTCAACTCCCAGAATTCCTCAGTCGGCCATTTTGATGAAAGTGCGGGCTTGGATCCAGACCAGGGGTCTTCAAACTTGGCCCTTTGATGACTGGTGGACTTCAACTCCCAGAATTCCTCAGTCGGCCATTTTGATGAAACTGCGGGCTTGGATCCAGACCAGGGGTCTTCAAACTTGGCCCTTTGATGACTGGTGGACTTCAACTCCCAGAATTCCTCAGTCGGCCATTTTGATGAAACTGCGGGCTTGGATCCAGACCAGGGGTCTTCAAACTTGGCCCTTTTATGACTGGTGGACTTCAACTCCTAGAATTCCTCAGCCAGCTTGCCTGGCTGAGGAATTCTGGGAGTTGAAGTCCACCAGTCATCAAAGGGCCAAGTTTGAAGACCCCTAGTCTAGACTGTTTCAAACACGATTGGGAAGGGCAAAAGTCCCAGTAAATGCCACAATAACAAAATGTCTATGGAGCTTCTCAATCATCCAGGTCATGGTTGTCCCTTTTTCCTTTTTTAAAAAAATCTATTTTATTGATTTTTAACATTAGCAATCTTTAGTGCTTAATAAACAGCGTGTTGTCTGGGTTCATATATTTAATAACAATCCCAAATCAGTAATTTCTATAATTCCATCATCAATATATTAGTTAAGGATACATTTTCTTGGTCTTCTCTTCTTCCAGTAGTATTCTTTTGTCCTTTTGTCAAACGTTAAACAAATATAATTCTTAATACTTTCGACACGTACGAGGTTGGATGTAAACATTTTTCTTGCGTTTGCCCAAATGACAATTACATCAACATATATATATATATAAAACATCTTTCCTGATCGGCTTACGTTTCAATTGTGTTTGGAAAAGTCATTTTAGAGAGGTTTTTCCGCGGACTGGAGTGTGCGTGGTTTTGTGTGCTGCCTGCATCCCACAGATGGGGCTTTGCTTGTTTGTGTGGACCGGAGTGTGCGTGGTTTTGTGTGCTGCCTGC